CCCTCCCCCCCCCCGGCCGCGGGGCGGCGGCGGCGGGGGGCTGTGGCTGGGGCGGAGGAGGCGACGGGGACGGCGGAGACCGCCTCTGCTCCCGCCTCGGGTAAGGGGGCGTTTGGGAGCCGGGCCCCGCGCGCCTCGGGATCTTGGGCTGGGCAAGCGCGGGATAGGAGGAGGCTCCGGGGCTGTCGCTGCCCTTCCCCCTGGCGACCCCCGGGCCTGTTGCTGCAACTGCTGCTGCTTATCCAGCGGCTCCCGGAAAAGTGGGGAGGGAGCCCCCGGGACGGTGGGGCGGGTGCCTTAGCGCAGCCCCGGGGGCGTGAGCAGGGGGTGAGGGCCATCCGCCGCCCTAGGCGGGACAAGGAGCAGCGCCGCTGCTGCCCTCGGCGTCGCGCATCCTTGCTTAGGGCAGGGACCGGAGCCAAGGAGCAAAGGATGGGGGCGGGGGTGGGAGGTGTCCCCCTTCTCCCTTCCACACCTACCTACCCTTTCGCCTGGATCTCGGTCCTGAGTGCACGGAGTGTTGAGGAGGATGCCGGTGCGTTACGCGTTATGGGTTTCCGAGAGGGCTTCTCCGGCTAGACATCAGGGAGTGGACCCGCACAAAGATCGGCTCCCGGCGAGGGGCCAGTGCTGGGCAGTTGACGGCCAGAGTGCCGCTGTACCCCCTTTTGATGTGCAAATGATGAACCGGCGTCTTTTGAGTGTCTAAACTTGTTCGGGAAGGTTAAATGAGTCCATATTCAGTAGTTCAAGGAGGTTTGTCCAGCCTGAGTGTGTTGTCGGCGCAGCACCTGCTCGCTCTCTCTGGGAATTGCAATCTTCAGAGACGCAGTGTATTTGAGTTAAATGGCAGTGTCGTGGTTAGGGTTTATCCCTGGTGAACTTCTGGCGTTTTGCTGTATGTTTCCCTTTAGATTTAGGCCTTGGATAAAAGCAGTGAGAGATGGTGTGTGTGTGTGTGTGTGTGTGTGTGTGTGTGTGTGTGTGTGTGTGTTTTCCCTTTCCTTCCTTCCTGTGTTTGAATTTACAGTTTACTTAATCCTAACTCAAGGAGGTAGACCCAGGAAAGCCAGACTCTCCAGTAGGTAACACCAAACCTCAAGGTTTTGCGGAACAAATTTCAAAACAAGTTTTGTAAGTGTTTAGAGTTTAAGTTAATCACAAGTAACTGACTTTGGCTTGGCGCTATAGAAACAGTAGGGAGGTTTCATTATAGTTTTTTTTTTCTCTCCTTACTATTCCTAGGTTTAAGTGCATATTTATTTTCTTGATTTGATTTAAATTCAATGTTTTATGCAATAATTCTTTAAAAGGGTGCGTCATACACAAAGTATTTTAGGAGAGTATTATTTAAGCGTTACAGAGCCATGTTGAAATAATGAAGTTTCTTTAACTTTAAAACCTAAAACCCTATGCCAAATAATATGGCCCTGTACATTGCTTTCCTTGTGAAATACAAGGTAAGATGTGTATAGAAAGTCTTAACTAATTTGTAAGTATTACAGTAGTAAGAGAAGATGGGAATTCAAACGTGTGAAATTGTGACTTTACAGATTTAGTATGCAAAAATGTAGTGTCTTAACAATGCCTAGGCTATAAGGAGCATGCAAGGGTGGATGCATGGATTTTCCTTCTGCTGCTTTCTATGCTATATTGTGGATTTTGTTTGAATTGAACTTAACAGCTGGAATGAAACTTTGGATGGGTTGCAGAAAGAGAAGTAAAAATAGTCTTTCTTTGATTAAGCAGTGAGTTAACATGAAGGGTATCTGTGGTTCATTAGGATAGTGATGCAAAGTAATTCCCATAAATATGGCACTGTCTAGGTTGTATTTTAAGGATGTTCTTGACTATAAAAATGTTGGATGAAGTTGTTTTCCTACAAGTCAGTTCTATTTAAGATGTGTAGAATTGGAAAACATAATTTCAATTATATTTCACAATGTTTTCTTACAAATTCTAACCAATTATTTTTAAGGAACTGGAATGTCCCTAAAAGCAGTGATTTTTGAAATTTGTAAATGGGTTGCAAAAACTTGGGCTCCTTACTTGTTTATTTTTTTAAATGTAGTTATTAATAGGTTGGTCTGGAGGGGGAGCTAGTGCCAAAGCAAAGTATAGCTTAATAGCTGCTTGAACTTTTTAAACCCCTAAAACCAGACTTTTATGACCAGGAGAAACATAAATTTTTAATTAAAAGAGTAGAGGAATTGATACAAGCATATATCTGTGCATAGTTATTTGTGGAATGCGTATATTTTGTATTACAAACTAGCTTAAAAATCTTATTATCTGAAATAATGGAAAGTAGATGTTTAAGATTTATTAAACTTTTCATTTAAAATCTCTAGAAGTGTTTTCCGGAATTGGGAGTGTGTGACAGTATTTTCTGAACCTTCTTGTGCAGTGCATCAGAAGGAAGGCATACGTTCTTGACCCTTTGTGCATGTTGTATGTTCTTTAATGCTTTCTTTATAGTATCTAAATTAAAAAAAAAGTTTTTATAAGCAAAGATATCAATTGTGTAGGAAGCTAGGTAAGTATCAAAAGTAGAAATACTCTCAATGAAGAGTTGAGTCCTTCAGACATTTGGAGAGCAGTATCCCAAGGTCACTTCTTCACCAATGTCTCCTGCAATGTAATGCAGTGAGTCTAGCTGATCTACTACATTGAACTTGTGCCTATGAATATGGAACAGTTATTTTGTGGTCCATGCCACTTTCTGAGGGTTCTAAACTAATCAGGTATTTTAATTTACTTTTACTATTCATATATTCTTTAATTCCAAACTTATAAATTGATAATGGTGTGTATATTAAATCATTAGAATATTCAACTTTCTGAGAATAGTGGTTGGGTTGTTTGTTATTGCTACCTCTTTATTGTGTAAATGTTATTTCTACTGGTGAAAGAAAAAGAAATAGATTCTTCCATTTTCTTAATGGCTGTTTTTTATTTACTAGAAACTATAGTAAATCTCTTGGTTCAATTAAATGGTAGATACACTTGTTTCATATGATAGTACATTTATCATAGATGTAACATAAGGTGTTTCAGGACTGGCCCTGTTGCCTAGTGGTTAAGGGAGCTGGACCCCACATGGCAGACAGGGATTGGAATTCCAGCTTCTATGGCTTGAAAAACATGCTTGGGTGCATGTGTATGTGTGGCCAAAATCCTGACAGGATGGAGAAATGGAGAAGGGTCTGTGATGTGAGCATGTCTCATTGGGGGATGCACACATTCTCTCTGCTCTCTGGATTTTTCTGGCAAACATATGTGTCCTCTGGTGACTAGAGAAAAGAGAATATTTCATTCCATTTTATAATCATAAGTACTAAAAATATTAATAAGTGTCTTAACTTGAAAATCAAGTATTCTAAACTCTGAAGCTGAAGATAATACTATTACAGGGCTTTTATATTCTATGCCCTGTACCAATACTGGTCCTACAGGTCCTTTTCAGGTGAAATATTAGCTTCTGGTCTTAAGTAGTCAACAGTAGTATAGAATTTAGCAGACCAGTACAGGATTCCCTCAAGTTCTCCTCTTAGTAATTCTGTGGCTTACATTTCTTATAGTATAGTTTCTTCGTTGCAGTTTGAATTGTCTTAAAATCTTAGCTTGTTATAATGAGACAATTAAACATGTCTAAAAGAAGAGGATATTTACAAGTGACTTTTAAACAACCTTTAACAATTCAAAATAAGAATAGTAGTAGTATATGGGAATATGTGTACATTTAAGAATTTTTGTTTAATTGGGACGAGCAGATGGCGTAATGGTTAGGTCACTGAACTCCCCAGTAGTTGACTGTGGTTCAAATTCTGGGACCTAGAGGCTTAAAAGTTATGCAGGGCCTATGTGCGTGCATGCATGCATGCCCAAAATCCCCAAAAGAGATTGGAGGAGAAGGGATTGTGCTGTGGCCTGGCCCCCTGGGGGGTGATTTCTCACTTTCTGTCTTTCTTTCTTTGTGTCTCCCGTGAGTGCACATGCTCTTTAGCAAAAATTTCTCTCTCTCAAAAAAAAAAAAAAAAAAGAGAAAAAAAGTTTAAAAACTGAGTTTGTCTCAAATCTCAACCTTTCTTTTCCTCTGCATTGTGCTATTTTTTGCCTACATGGTCACCCTGTTAATCTCACAATTTTTTCTGTGGAAAAATTAGAAATCAAACCAATAAAGTTTACCTTATCACTCACCTGACAAAGGTTTTTGTTCTTGATTAAATGACTTTATATCAATCTCTACAATATTTTGAACATATAAACCATATAAACTATACAATACTGTACACTTTCCTTTTAATGGAAGACAAATAGGACCTATGGGGTTATGCTGTATGTGTCAAAATAAGGATTACTCTTGTACTTTTTACTGAAAGTAGAGTTGTAGGGTTACTTTCATTTCAGTTTTATTTGAAGACAATTTTTTTTTTTAGAGGTTTTTGCTATAGGGTGTGTGCGCTCGCCAGACAGAGAGAGACATAGAGACAGAAAACGAGAAATCACCCCCCAGGGGGGATGGCCACGCTGCAATCCCTTCTCCTCCAATTTCCTCTTGGGATCTTGGGCACGCATGCACACGCGCCCGGCGTGAGTTTTTAAGCCACTGGGTCTGGGACGCGAACCGCAGTCGACTACGTGGGAGTCCAGTGACATAGCCATTACACTAACTACTGGTCCCAAGACGACGGTATTTGGCAAAAACATAATATCTTGTTCATCTACTCTTTTTTTTTTTTTTTTTGAGAGCTTTTTGCTTTGGGGTGCATACACTTGCCAGAAAGACAGAGAGACAGAGAAACAGAAAGCAAGAAATCATCCCCTGGGGGGATGGCCATGTAGCAATCCCTTATTCTCTTGGGATCTTGGACACACATGCACACATGCCTGGCATGAGTTTAAGACACCGGGTCGAGGACTCGAACCACGGTCTACTACATGGGAGTCCAGTGACATAGCCATTATGCCAACTGCTGGTCCCTCATCTACTACTTTTAAATGTATCCATTTGAGGGGCAAGGTATTGGCACAGTAGTAATGTAACTAGACCCACATGAGAAAGACCCTGAGTCTGTTTTCTGAGGCCTCCCGAGCTTG